TGGCTAGATTCTTTAGTAATAACTTCAGAAAATGAAACACTTTAAACTTTGTGAATATAACACATTGTATGGCAAGTACCATGGTACATTTCAAATCATGTATACAAAACTGTACCTTTCTTGTATAACTTCTGATGCCACTGACATAATATTGATGGCTAGATTCTATAAAGTAAAACTCATGCTTATATAGCAGATCAATTCCTTTTAAAACAATTGTAACTTAACGATGACAGAATTATATCTCTCAGTGGAAGGTTTTAGTCGTTTTCAGATTAATGATAATTTCAAATGCTTTTAATCTTTGGAATTGAAACATGTGTGGGTAACTCATTACATCACAATATGATTTACATAGTTTTTATAATCATAATCGGTAGGCAGACTAAAAGCAACAAACCACATTTCAGATTACAAATTACGGGAAAGCGTTTTTAGTTTATACATATTTTATTTAAGTTCGATTGTGTGGGAAGTTATAAACTGATAGACACACTTTCGAATCCTTCCTGGAACCAACTAGTACTGAGCAATGAGTGAAAAGAGTCTTGTTCTCGGAAACAACGACTTGCCCCTGGCTGGGTTTGAACACACGCAACTAGCGATAATTAAATTACTATTCCGACACGTTAACCAAGAAGCATAATGTAAAATGCTTTGGAACTATTTCATATATGAAGAAATACACGTTCTTAATGAACTCCATAGAACGAAATCGTTATATGGTGGATTTGTTTTATTGATAAATAACGTTTTGTTAAATGTTAAACCTATCTATTGTGTGAAGAGTTTGAAATATTATTTTATTATAGAATGAAAAACATACAGACTAAACACATGTGATGTATAAGCAAAATGATAATTTTTGAGGGCAGATAACTAAAACAAACAAGGTCGGTAAACCCTACTTGTTTCGCATGTTGTTGACTTCATGGTGGCGACTTTGCATGCTTACTTTAAGTACGATTTTATTGATAGGTTTTATTCTATATGAAAAAATTTCCTTGATATTTTCAAATATAAAAGCATTTTAGTGTCAATGTATTCACATTATAAAATGAGCATGTCCAGAATCTTAGAATTGTCTTATATTTTGTTACATGTTTTACAAGTTCGTGGACTTTTTCTGTCATTGTTTACTTGGTCCGTAAATACAACCTTGGTTGATATGGATCGAAAGAATGTCTTTATTTCTAAAGTAAGATTTACTTTTACCGTAAACTTTTACTTCATATACGAACTATGTGCTCTTTAATAACCATGGCAACGCAACATCGGCGCACGCCAAAATTTTCAGATAATGTTTAAATATAAACAAATGATGAAGAACGGCTATTTCACCAGGAAAAATCGGGGTAAACATCTATTAATATTTAATTGACATAAATCTGAAATTCGACGTTGAATGGCTAAACAAACAAGTTTGAAGCAGCAGTAGTCAGTAGCGTAAATTGTGAAACATGAAGCCTGATTTAAATTAACAAAGGGCAATGAGTCGGTGACAAGTCACTCGGTTTCACCTGGCGCAAGCGATTCAAAAACGGCAAATTTATGATCACAGACAGAAAGGGGCGAGAGAGGAAGCGGCGAATTGTCAGGACGTTTGTTACTCAGTTGCAAAAGTTATACAGGAGGATGGACAATATGAAAGGTCTGCGAGCTGTTCGGCATGTTTGATTTCTGCATCGGGTCTACACATTCAATTCTGACCAAACAATTAAATTTAAACAATACGTTTTTATTCATCAGAATATATGTGTTATTACAATAAATAAATGTAGTTACTATTTGTATTACATGTATTTTCCCTGATTTGTTAATAGCTAATAAATGCTAACCGGTGTTCAGTAGATTTACCACAGATAATATTTGTCAGTTAATAAAACACTTTTCTTTACTGTTAAGAATCATATTGTTTATAGATCAGATGATGGTGATTTAAATTGATGCTATGAATCACCAATTGAATCAGCTTGATAACACTGCCCGTGAAGTGTCGAGATTACAAAAATCGCGATAAAGAGTGCAAAGTGGTCGGTTTTCGGACCTTTATACGCAGAATTGAGCGAAAAAGTGACCGTTTTCTTTCTCGCTTCAGCATAACAAACAGAATCAAAGTGCTGCAGCACTGAATGCGACGGACATGCAACCGGAGAGACATTAATTAAGGCTTCTTTTAGAAAAAAAAAAAAACAACAAAAAACAAAACACAAAATATATAACAGAGAAAATTTGTTCCATACAAGTTCGAGATTTGTAGAGCAATATATTTTGTGTCCCAAATTGATATAATTCAGATTTTCTTCTTTCAAGCACTTAAATACAGAATGAAATTTATGCCTAAAAACTCTGGTCAAACTTGTAAATCAGTGTCCTTATCGATTTATTCTAAGAAATGATATGTAAATAGAAAAAAAACTATCAACGAAATATTTCTAGAATAAATCCAGGCAAATAAACTTCAAACATAATACAATTTATACATTTGAGAATGCTATTTAGAATTGCTTCGTGTTATATCATAGTGGGCATACAGACAATAAAATATTTATAAGTCATTTGTATTTTTATTTCTCTTGGATATGTCTCATTAAAAAAATGGTTAAAATCATCAGCAATTAATAGTGTATTTCTTAGATTTTTTTTATTAACAAGGTAAAGATGTAGAGGCCAGAGCACATCGTTTTTATTTTAATTTAAATGTCACTTTAGCACTACAGTGTTTAGTTGTCCTTTTCAACTTCACACTAAATTCCATTTTCAACTTGTTTGCTTCTTACAATTGTATAGCATTTCTAAAAGTATTGCATTACAATCCGCTGGTTTATTAATTACATGTTTAATGTGTAATTCCTAATCGCCTGTCCAAAAATCAGAACAGGTGAAGCAGAATCTATTTTTAGAATAGCGAAGGTTAACTCATATCATGACCTAGAAAAATATGTAAACAAACCACAAGAATCGGAAGTAGAACTGATATTATAACTTCCTTACCATGAAAGACTACATGGCGGTAAAGTGTCTTACATGCATTTTCAAAAATAAATATTTATACTAGCCATTGTACTGTATGTAATATATTAATAACTGCTGAATATTCAGCTAAACCCGCGGTATGAGTCACGAAAATAGTTCTTCTTTTATTAATGCGCGAGTTATCCTAGAGTCACGAAAAACTTTTGATTTGTTAATAATGTTTTGTATAATGTAGCAATATTTATTTCCTACTAATAATGTCTTGGAACTCAGAGGTTACACCTTTATTGTAGTATAATTTGCTGTCCTGCTTTTTCGACAGCGGTAAATCGTTTCAGCAGTAATTTGCATATTGCGCAATAATACTACGGGACTACAACGTTTATATCAATAATATACGTTCATATTTTAACTTGGATAACTTAATTTGAAATTGAAAAGGCTAAATATGGAAGACATTAAGATATCCAGACAAAGTATGGGAGTTTTGAAGGATCAAATTCATGTACTATTTCTTGGGCTGTTAATTGGTTTAGGACACATTGCGCGAGTGTAGCCAACGAAATCCCATGTGTAGATGACTTAGCTCTGAACGCGCCTGAGGGCGCGTCCGTCGCAAAAATGATTATGGTTATGTGATCCGGATACATTGAACACTCGAAAATGTACTTTCAGAAACTATGACGCTGGTGACATTTTCAATTTAAATTTCGACGTTACGAACGTCATTTTGTTTTATCGTAATCGTGCGCCGGGGTGCGTACCCCTTGTTATTTTCACAGAATTGTTATTTGTAACCACATCGTATTGATTTTGTACTATATATTAAGGACATGGTCCTATATTTATATCTTGTAACATCGTATACGCAAATTGAAAAATATGAACAGTAGAGCCGCAATAAACAGCCCTCATACGTTCACATGTTAAATTTAATCTATGCACTAATTGATATAGAAATGTTACGGTTATTTGTGTTCCTTTTTTTCGCTTTGCCTAATTGTATGCAGACTGTTTTCCCCCTGTTTCTACCTGCAGAAAGGATCTGTTAAATGTTAAGTACCGGTGTATTGTTACATTTGTTATTTACATAAAGCAGAACTTACATACCAAACATTTGTTTGTGTTTGATGTTATAATTTGTTTATATTTATTTATCTTTTGCAACTATTATTTGAGTTTCCAGTGTTGTCTTGCTCTAATTGATTGGCAGAACGCAAAGTACATCTTTCTTGTATGCAACAAGAGGGTCATGATGGCTCTGAAATCGCTCACCTGAATTTAAAAACTCTCCATGACAAGAAATAAATAATATTGTAAACTATAAACGAAAGCAGGTATAAAATCTTAATCTTAAACTGATATCCTAAAGTTCATATTTGTATATGAAATAGTGCATGTGTAAAAATCACAGGTTGCTATTGCTTATCCAAAAGATGTGTAATATAAGGAAAATTAATGACATTCCCCTCCTCCAATTTAGTCCCAAGGGCTTTTATTTGAACAAACTTCGTAGACACTCACTAAAAGATGTTCCATGCTTAATATCTAAGTTCCAGTTATTTGAGTTTTTTAAAACAGATTTTTTAAGTTTTCACTATAAACATATATGGAAAATCAATGACCTCCTCCCCGGGGCGGGGTCATTTTAACCCCAGGGCTTTTATTTGAAAAAAACTTGGTTGGCATGCATTAGAAGGTGTTTCATGTTTAATAACTAAGTTCTAGCCATTTAGGTTTTTTAAAAGAAAACTTTTCAAGTTTTCACTTTATACATATAAGGAAAATCAATGACCCCCCGGGGCGCGGCCACTTTTGACCCCAGGGCTTTTATTTGAAAAAAACTTGGTTGCCATGCATTAGAAGATGTTTCATGCTTAATATCTAAGCTCTAGCCATTTTGGTTTTTTAACAGAAAACTTCTCAAGTTTTCACTTTATACATATAAGGAATAAATGACCCCAAGGCGCGGCCACTTTTGACTATCATACGACGGAAGAGATAAATAAGAAAGTTGTTTCGTATAAAGCTTATGGTATAGTTTAATTGCAAGATGACATAATACACCCTTCACAATGCTAAATACTTTAAATATAATATGTCTGGGTTGTTAAAAAGTTATATACTATTATTCTTGATTTATCAACGTAAACTGTTTATATTTCAGAGTTGAAGGAAATGATCGCATAACAAGAAAGGAGAAGTTCAGAAGTACAAATCATAGAGTATATATTCTATCATTTTAGTGAAATAGATATTAGACTAAACAAAACATTATCAATAGAAAACCTATAAGAATACCGTCTATATATAAAGTAACAAAATGTAAATTAAAATACCAAATGGCAACAGAAAACAGTATGAAATACACAGGTTTGAGCCAATCAACTCATTATGAAATAATTGCGTAGATATGTAGAAACATCATTTATAGTTGCCTATGATAGTAGATATAATAATTCTACGTCTAGAACAAACGAACAGAATAATTTCACGTTGCAGATAATTGTTGAATAAGCAATAATTTTCATAAATATGTGTTGCAAATATTCCAACACTGTTTTTCTATATACAAAAAGATTTTAGGTCTTATAACAATTATATCGAATTACTTTAAAAAAAATAGATATTAAACATTAGTAAACATATCTATATTAGGATCTGAATGTACTAGAAAACTCTTAAACACACAATTAGTTAAATTATAATACTCATGACTAAATGACTAAAGCATACGCGGATATGTTCAATATTCATACCTTACTAAATTGTTATTCCCGTTTTTTGCAAACAGATTTCAAAATTTGATAAGGAGAGCCCCCTATATTATATAATATCCTAATTATTCCACAAACAAAGACTCAAACAGGAATGACAACTCCTTTCTTCAGCACGGTTCCGTCTTCTTTCATCACAGCTGGCCATACAGTCCAATCACATACATGTTTGTCTTTGTCACCTTCTATTTCAAATTTGTTTTTATCAATCATTTCTCCTTTAGGAATCCAGTATATATAGAGAGGGGAATGTTTTAATGAGCACATGTGATATAAGCATCGTATACAGCTGTGTACGAATGACCGAATTGGATTTGTCACGTGGTCCTTGTTAAATGATGGCGGAAGTTTTTGATGAAGATAAATCTGAAAAACAAAACAAAAAGTAAGTTATGAGTAAAAATAAATAAGTGATAATAAAGTTTTAAGCAAGCAAACCAATCTGAAAGATATTAAATATTTCCTTGAACAAGAGTTATTAAACGTTCCGAATCTTTCCTGCTTGACGCACATTATGAAAATAAAAGGTTTTTATTTAAACCTTAGCCCAAATCTTACATCAGTAAGAAATGTGTTCTTAGGAAATGGATGCCTCATTTTCCACTGTATTGTCAAAATGTTCAACTTTTTGTGAATATAAACATTGCAGTTACATTTTCGGAGAAGCACGTAACAAAAATCCAAATATGCTTATAAACCCTCCAATGAATTGTGAAAAATTATTATGTTGCGTAATTCTAAACGTCCCATGCCTTCCTTTTTTAACTTTGGGAACCTCGCACAAAATAAAAATGCTTTTGTTTTTTAAAGGGAGAAAAACCCAGAAATTTTTTGCATAAATCTGACAATAATTTTTTGGGAAAATTGCTGGCAAGCAGAAATTTCTCCAAGTGTCCTAATATACCAAAAACACCCAGGCCCGTAACTTTCTGAAAACTACCGGGTATTATACATTTGGAACCAACAAAGTTATAGACGGAAACAGGACAGACGGACACGAGCAATTCTATATGTCCGTTCCCCGTCCTTGCAACTGGTGGGGCAATATAATTGGGGTATGAATTATGACCTGATGTTCCCATATTTCTTTGCTTTTGTGAAAGATACACGAGTAGAATAGATGTAGCATCTTTACATTATTTGTGTTTCGAGTTTTTCAATAAGAAACAATCCTCTCCTGACGCATTTACAAATACATGTAGCCTTTCAAAAGTACATATGCCATCTAACTATGACACTTTATTAAATTAGAAATAAGCATTTTTCAAAGAAAGCCGAACCATCACAAGCAAGGAAACAAACAGGGGTCTTGTATACACAAATGTATAATTGATAACTACATGTAATTGTAAAATAAAGGCATTTTTGTAAGTTATGTGACAGTTAGATTATGTGATCAAACTATGTCAAAATCAGTGAAAAATTGTATCATTCTTTTCACTAATTTATACCAAAGTACATACTAGTATTTTGCCTGGAATATTTGTCGAACGTTTAATATTTATTTCTGATACACTTGTGATAAATGGCTTGTTTTACCAACTTTCTACAAATTTTAAAATAACTTCTAGCTTTAAGTTCTAGATAACGGAATTTTTACAGTACAATATTAACATAAAGTCTGAAAACAATTAATACAATACAAAACTGAAACCTTACATTTCTTAGTCACGTACATATATCTAAGTTATGTTCCTAAAATACATTTGTTTATAATTGATAGTATACCTCAGTCAGATGCTCTGTTTTTTTCTTGTGGTGTGATTCTTTTGTTTCATTCTGACAGAACTCGTATATTCCCTGAAAAATATCACATTACCATGACAACGATCGCCTGATCAGTTCAAAATAAAAGATAGTTTAAATGTCATGTATATTTTGTGAATGGAGAGTTAAGTGTTTGCTATTAGCTTGTTACTCAAGATATGATATAGGTGACAGTGTCAACTTGTAACAGTGACAACAATCCTCACTTTGATGCCAGCACTATTTAGTGTTTAGAATTGAGTACTGCTCAAGCCGGTGCTAGGGGGCGTGAGGGATGTTGCACTTATTCATTATCCCTCATTTACAGACTCAATCAAACCGAGTCTGCAATACTCATGTAATTTTGTTGTGATTAATGCTTCCGAGGGATCCTTTGTCTGATTTTTATAGTGGTGCTTCGCTACAACAGGCATAATGACAGCATACAATCGCGAATGACATAGCATATCATACTGAGAACTAACTGATACTTTTTAAAGGTAACTATTATACATATGGCAAGCAAATTTAATTATTTCTATTAGTGTTATCTAAAGTCTTACCCTGACAAGCTGCATAAGCAGATATATAATCTCTTCATCGTGTTTGTGGATTTTCAATGATAGACGAGCTTCCCGCCATTCTTTATTGTATACCTTACAAAGGTCGTCTGCTATCGCCTCCATCTTAGTTTGTATACAGTACAATTATTCGCCCTGACGTGCACTGTCAGTCAATAAAGTCACTGCAATATAAATGAGAAAGATATTATGTCTTTGTGTTGCCGCTGCAAATGAGACATTAAAATATAACCGGACGGTGAGTTAAATAAAAATTAGAACAGAAAATACGTTTAAGTTTACACTTGCACATAGTACTGTACAGTAGTAAACATTGCCATGCAACAAGATAAATAATACAATTTTCACAGAAAAGCTTCCCCAAGTGACTTTAGTTAGTAATTTCTTTTTATTAAATGAAAACAATCATTATTCATTTGCAATTCAGTAAAACTGTGTTTATGTTACGCTAAGTTTCAATTATAAAATCAAGTCACCCTTACTGCAAGCTTGTTATGATGACGTCAAATATGACATCATTTTTGATCGTTATGCACGTGTTCATGTGCCGCAAGCCGATTTAATGATTATGACTGCAAACACATTTGAGCCGTGACATGACAAAACCAACATAATGGGTTTGCGACCAGCATGGTAAGCGAACAGCGTGGATCAGACTGCGCGGATGCGCAGGCTGGTCTGGATCCATGCTGGTCGCAAACCCACTATGTTGGTTTTGTCGTGACACGGTTCATATATGGTTACGTTAAAATTATGGTTACATTTGTATCTGTTTATATTAACATGAGTATTAATATAATACATCACATATTTTCCCAATTTATTTAAATATCCTGTAATATTTTTATGGTTTTATACCATAAATATGATGCTCAAATGAAGATTTATCAATATTATAAGTTCCAAAAGGCATCATTTGTAAAGATATTACCGAATTAACATTCGATGTAAATAAAGGGGGGTAATTAGAAATTGATTTTCTATAAAATCTAAGCCTAATTTTTCAAAAAGAAATGAATGCATATATTTTCATGATTACATAGAGTGCGAATAAACATTTGCAGTTATCTTTCCTTTTTACAGTCAGCGTCTTTAATCAACTTGATGCATTTCACTTATATCTACTTTCGTTACTAAAACATTTTTTTCATTCCCATAAATTAAAATGATGCAAGATTCCAGTTTTATCGATAATCTTTAATTATTTTTTTTAATTTAATGATTTGTCACTTGATGTACATGATCTTAAACCAACCCATGTCTAATAAGTTTAAATATTCCTACCACCATTTTGTAGATCTACACCCATACTATTTTATGTCATTATTCAACGCTGAGTGTTACTGAACAATCATAGTACCTTTTATAACATACCGTAAAACAAACATTTTCCAAGTACTCAACAGCAAAATCTTTCATGAAATGACTTAGACATATTTCATGTGTTGTTTGTTTTTGGAGGGCAAAGTGCGTGTGCATATTTTTATTTATTTATTTATTTTTGTGAACGATACGAGCATGTGTATATTTAAAAAGATTATTGAAAGGCCCATTAAGCCTTAAAATGTTGTTTTTTTATCATTTGTGTTTCATTTTGTAGTTCTGTTACAGATCTCGAAGCGATACTTTATGCCATCATATTTCGACCATTAGGGAAGTTATAAAGTTATAATGATTTAGTTGATACAACTTTGTTCACATTTTGTGACGTTAATGACAAATTATTTTACGTAACACGCCCATTTCTTCCAATTTTAAGCACCAAACATGCTTTAAAATCAATCCCAAAACATGACAAAACATAACTTGGCTCATATAATATTCATCTCTGAGCCTTAATGTGCCTTGATGTTAGAAAATTAGCTATCTTCTTGTTTTTATTTGATCAAGTAGTATAATAGTACATCGTTTATATAATGTTTAAAATGTGCATAGTCTGGGTGTGTAAAGTAAACTTGAAATCTTTATTGAATAACCAGATGAGCTTTTACAAATTTGTGGTGTGTTATTTTAGAAATCTATTACTTTACACGTAAAATATTTGCACAATGCCGATGAAACACACTTTGATGATTGTATAAAATTGATCAAATTGAACATATTTAACTTGTGTAATTTCTGGCATAAAGATAAATTTGCATGCATGACTTAAACTTTACCACATATAATTTTATATTCAGTTTTCGACTAATTTACCAGCATATGTTATATCAAATGTAGATTGTATATGTACCGTAACATTTGAAAAGTACCAGGAAAACTAGAAAAACTAGAAATGTGCCATCATGCCACGGATGCCCCCGCATGCAGGCAAAATTTCAGATGTTATAATATTTAGTTCCAAATTTTTTTGCACAAATTATTTTTTTCATTCTAAGTTCAAAGCCCTTAAAACTTTTCAATGTTAACACAAACCATTTCCATACAATATACAAGGCACTGAAATTATTCAGTCTGAACCTTTTGAAAATAGCATATTTCATATTTGTAGCCAAAATAATGGCTACATACATTTCCACAAAAGTATGAGTGCTGAAACTGAAAGTTCAAAATTTTTCCAACATTCAAGAAAGATAAGTTTGTCCAAAATCATTGAATCACGACCAAATTCAAACTTAAACTGCTTATTCCTAAGATGTATCTATATTATTTTCAAAGTGAAAGGGACATAACTCTGACAAGAAAATCATGAACCATGACCAAATTCCAACTTGACCTGCCCATTCCTTTGACATATTCATATGTCGAATTTGAGTTGAATATGTAACACTGTTGGGTAAATAATGAACACAAACTGTAAATTTCATATTATTTTCAAAGTGAAAGGGGCTTTACGCTGCCAAAAATCATTGAACCATGACCAAATTAGAACTTGGCCTGGGCATTCCAAAAACATATCCATATGTCAAATTTGAGTTGAATGTGTTGTACCGGTGGGGAGATAATAAACAGAAACTGAAAATTTCATATTATTTTCAAAGTGAAAGGTGCATAACTCTGCCAAAAATCATTGAACCATGACCAAATTTGAACTTAACCTGCGCATTCCTTTGACATATCCATATGTGAAGTTTGAGTTGAATATGTTGTACCGTTGGGGAGATAATGAACGGAAACTGAAAATTTCATATTATTTTCAAAGTAAAAGGGGCATAACTCTGCCAAAAACCATCGAACCATGACCAAATTCGAACTTGACCTGTATTTTATCATGACATATCCATATGTCAAGTTTGAGTTGAATGTGTTGTACCGTTGGGGAGATAATGAACGGAACTGAAAATTTCATATTATTTTCAAAGTGAAAGGGGCATAACTCTGCCAAAAATCATCGAACCATGACCAAATTCGAACTTGACCTGTATTTTATCATGACATATCCATATGTCAAATTTGAATTGAATGTGTTGTACCCCCTTGGGGAGATAATGAACGGAACTGAAATTTCATATTATTTTCAAAGTAAAAGGGCATAACTCTGCCAAAAATCATCGAACCATGACCAAATTCGAACTTGACCTACTTTTTCATGACATATCCATAAGTCAAATTTGAGTTGAATGTGTTGTACCGTTGGGGAGATAATGAACGGACACTGAACATTTCATATTACTTTCAAAGTAAAAGGGGCATAACTCTGCCAAAAATCATCGAACCATGACCAAATTCGAACTTGACCTGTATTTTCACATGACATATCCATATGTCAAATTTGAGACCGTTACTATGATAATGAACGGAAACTGATGATGACAGAATGACGGAAGGACGGAATGACGGAAGGACGGAACAGGGTAACACTATATGCCCCGGCCATTACATGGCGGGGGCATAAAAATCAACGTTAGTCCCTTTAAAATCAGTCGTTCATAATACAGAGCATAGTCTTTAAGAAAACAATTCAAAGTACCAAGTTCATCTCGAACTAGCATTTCAGTTTGGCTATTTGTTGCTTATGAAATACGAGAACAAATACCATCAAGGCAGAGTGACGTTCACAAAATGCAGCCCAAATGGCATCTACTAGGCACCGGAAGAACACAGTCATGCATCTTGATAAGATACTATTGTAAACAGGGAGACACAGGCAAAATTTTGATTTCTTAGTTTTGAATTTTTTCATTCCTAATTCTGTAAATACCCTAAAAATGAATATATTAGACAGTCAAAGGAACAAAACTTTTCTCCATATAAAGAATAAAATGATGGTTTCCTAACCTGACCCGCGTGGGTCAGGTTAGAGCGCTAGGATTCCACAATAGTTGTCACAGTGAACTCTGGAAACGTTAAAGAACATGTCAAATGAATTACTTTGACTTGTTTCAATCACACAATATCCACAGTATCTGTTTATGTAAATTCAAGGATTTGTTCAAGTCACCTGACTTGTTTTAAAACTATTCGGTGATTCTATTGGCGTCTAAATTTTGTTCAACATATATAGATATATTTATGTTTCAAATCCAAAATATATAGAATTAAAAGAGAAATTCATGCTGAAACTTTTAGAAATGTCATTTTAGCGAGAGTTGAGTACAAAAGATCATTTTAATTGTTTTGTCATTATTTTGCCTGAATATCCCTTTAATATTATTCATTAAAAAAAGACATATCATCAACAAAACATTGATTTGTGTTCAAACAGGATAAATACGTACGTTTCGTGAATTTGTGAAAATATATTATCTTAACTATTTTAATTGCATTTCTCTTACAATGCATGATGTACTATTAAGAATTACTTGTTAACAATTTGACTGTGTATTTGTGTGTCCATGAACATAAATATGTTTTACTACTTGTTTTATACAGTAACTACAAGCATATTTTAATTGGGTAAATCGGTTATCTGACTAATATTGTTTTAAATGTGTTTACATTTAATAACCGCAGTGTAGTTATATCTTTTGAACAAATAAAAGCAAGTGAAAATAACCGTCTAATGCGTTATTTCTTTAAAATATTACGCAAAATACTACTTGTGGAAAAATATATTATTTATTGCTTCTCTCATATTTCAACTTTTACGTTAATTACTTATTAATCAGCATTCCCTTAAGAGTCTAACATAAATTGCATTGTATCAATAAACAAATCAACCATGGTGGTTTACTCCTATAATTTATTTGAATTTCTTCAGATATAATTGGAACATTTTATAGAG